AGCTGTCCCAGAGGAGGAACAGCAGATACTCTGAACAATAGCGCAACCCAACAAAAAGGGGTGTGTCGGGCCGATAGTTATATTAGGCTGTCTTCAGAAAGTAATGTTGAAAACTTTCTTCTCTCTCTAAGTCCTAGATCAGTTTAAATACATTAGAATTTTCCACTCCTTGAAAGTTTGAAAGCATTCACTGATAAAACATTTGAGTCCAGGGCTTCTTGGGCTACCTTCTCAATTTCTTCCCTGGTCAGGGTTCTGCTTCAAGTTTCTGCCTCTTTGGGACTGATTTTGTTCATTTATATTTTCAAGAAAAGCATCCCTGTAACTCAGCTGGTTAAATACATCTGTACAAGTTTTGTCAAATACTCTTGGTTATTTTTTAAGTGGCTCATTCTTTTTGTCCAGCTTTATTGAGGTATAATTGAGAAGTAAAAAATTATATATACTTAAAGTGTACAAGATGATTTGATGTATGTATCCAATGAAATAGATACTACAACCAAGCTCATTCATGCATCCACCACTTGAGTTACCGCCTTCTTTCTAATTAATTTGTATTAACTTTACATAGTATAGATATATTTGCAAAAAAGTAATTTTGATGGCGATAGTAACAGTGCCTACCAAAGTTGTGGTAAAGAGTAAATAAGTTCGTACGTGTACGCTGATGAGAATAGTGCCTTGGTAAGCATATTATTCGATTTGGCCATCACTGCATCATTGTCCATAATTTTCCAGCTTTGGTTGCTTAGTTATTGTTAGGCAGAATTCTACGTAACCCTCTTTACAAGTTCACCATAGAGTTTCCTGTCATTAATAATGTACTGACTTACGCCACCTTAAATACCTTGTAATATACTCACAAGGTAAGGAAATAAAGCTGCCAGGTCATGTTGAAGCTTATGGGTTGCAGGCCGCCTCCAGCCCTTCCTCTAGGCCTCTGTCCCTCAGGGCCAGCCCTACAAGTCCCTTAACCGCCACTGTGTCCCTGCCTGGTCACGGTCCTGCAGCGGGGCCCTGTGCGGCAGCTCAGCGTGTTCTTGGAAATTCCAGATCAAGGACATGGGCACGCTACTGTCGATAAACTTCGCCGCGATTGTCTCCTTTCTTCTTTCTCGATTCTTTTTTATTATCCAGACCTTTTCCCACCGGAAGAGGCAGGTGAGCCTCAAAATCTTTTATCCTAAAGTGAGTAAGAATGAAAGAAAAAACCTGGCCGCTGCTTTTTACTTGTTTCTCTGAGGAAACCGCTTCTGATGCCGGGATCGTTTCTTCTTTTCAGTGGGGGCACTGTAGCAATACACCGTTGTCTGCCAATGACGTCTCGATTTTTTTAAATCCTTGAAAAAAATACTTCTTATGAGTCCAGTGGTTTATAGTAATGTTTATAGAGAACTGGCAGCCCTCATTAAATTAACACAGTTTATATTTTTAACCTTTTGGTCAATAAAGTAAGTCATCACACAGTCTGAGCTAATATAGTTAACTTGAATGAAGAAAAGTCTGCAATAATAAATATGCTTAAAGACAAACAATTCTATTTGTAATTTCTACTACAACCCTAGTGGTTCTATGGGAATTAGCATCTTACTTTCATGAATAAGTGATTGTCTTATTTGTACATAGTGCAAATCATGCCATTTACTTTCAAAGTGCTTCTAAGCAGTCTGTCTCAAGTCAGTTACACCCCTCATTTTATGATTTACTTACAAAACTTCCTCTATATAAAAGACAACTTCAACTCAACACTTATCTCAATGAGCCAAATGATGTTAATAATCAGAGAAACTAAGAAAAAGCTACCAACCGGTGTTGGGCAAGTCAACTTTCCATAATCACAGACATGTGAAAAACACAGTAAGGCGGGTAAGACACTTTTTATACATCATTGCGTTTACTCTCACAACAGTCCTGCAAGGGAGGTGATATTAGCCCATTTGACAGATATGGAAGCTGAGGCCCACAGCAGCTGGGACTTGCCTGGATCATAAAGCTCATGTTCTTTCCATTATTCTACATTGTCAAAAAATTTAATCTGTAATACAAAGAGGGCCCTGGCGAGATTTATTTCCATATTACCAATTAGCATCTAATAATTATAGATGGGTTTTGAACCCACTTTATCAACATAGCAGTAACCAAATATTTTGGTGGTTTTCTGAGAGAACTCGCTTCTTAGGAAGACCAACTTGATTCAGAGAAAGGGCTGTGGAAAAGCAGGTCTATCATGATTTTCCAAATAATACTGCCACCTCGTGGACAAATGGTGAGCTAAGGTAAGTTGCCCTAATGCACGGCTTCAGTTTCTTTCTTTTTTTTTAGATATTTATGATTATATTTTTGAAAAATTATGCACAAAAAATTAGCAGAGCTAGGCACTGACCTCAATTCAAAGATAACTTGCGCTAAGCTCACTTAAAAATGACTTAATTTACATACTATTTCCCAAACATTTATTAACTTTCATCTGACATCCCTATTTATTGTCACTGTCTTCTAGTATTAGGCATCGGAGTTTGTTTTTATTTCATTGTTTATAACACTTTATTAAATTTATTGGGGTGACAGTGGTTAATATGGACATAGAGGTTTCAGGTGTGGGTTTCTATGTTACAAGATCCGTATATTATCTGTGTGCCCACCACCCAAAGTCATATCTTCTCCCATCACCATATACTAAGACCCCCTTCACCCCTCCACCCCCCCACCCGCTTCCCTCTGGCAGCCACCACACTGCTGTTTGTGTCCACGAGTTTCAGTTTTATATCCCACATATGAGTGAAATGATATGGTTCTTAGCTTTTTCTGACTTATTTCACTTAGCATAATATTCTCTAGGTCCACCCATGTTACAAGTGGCAGTACTCCATCCTTTCTTATGGCCTAGTATCCATCGTGGACGTGTGTCCCAGCTTCTGTATCCAGTCCTCTATCGCAGGACACTTTGGTGTTTCCATGTCTTGGCACCGTGAATAATGCTGCAGTGAGCATAGGGGTGCATGTATCTTTGCAAATACATGTTTTCGAGTTTCTCGGGTACATACCCAGGAGAGGGATTGCTGGGTCGTATGTAGCTCTGTTCTTAATTTTTTGAGGAACCGCCAGACTGCCTTCCACAGTGGCTGCAGCAGTCTGCACTGCCACCAGCAGTGAGGGCTCCCCTTTCCCCACCGTTCTCCAGCACTTGTCACTGCTTGTCTTGTTGGTAACAGCCGCTCTATCAGGTGTGAGGTGGCATCTCACTGTAGCTTGATTTGCTTTTCTCTAATAGCCAGTGAAGCTGAACATCTCTTCATATATCTATTGGCTATTCGTGTCTTCTCTGGAGAGGTGTCTGTTCAGGTCCTCTGCCCACTTTTTAACTGGGTTGTTTGGTGTTGAGTTTTATGAGTTCTTTAGATATTTTGGAAACTAAACCTTTCACTTGATTAAAATTCTCAGTGGGTGTTAAGGAACGCTTCCAGAAACACTGAGTTGTAGCTCTCAGAAAAATGATAATTTCAGCTCGCACACAGTAACCAAACTGCTGTTTTCATGTGAACTGCCAAGCTGGATCCAATAGCCATTTGTTCATTTTATTTGTTCGCTCAGCATGTATTCACTAAGCACCAACTTGGCATTGTGAAGTCAAGATACCACGGAGGGTAGAACATGTTCCACGTTTCTGGAATACGAGATGCTGTTCCTGCGACGGGGAGAATGTGGACTCTCAGGCTGCCTGAGTGCAAGTCCCAGCTCTGTCGCTAACCTGCTGCCTGACTTTGGACAACTCACCTAGAGTCTGTCACTTCAGGGTCACCATGCACAGAGTGGGAATACTAGTAGCCCCTGCCCATAATTACTAAGTGTCCTGTGGAATACAAGGCACCCTGTCTGAGGTCTCCAGGGAATGCATCTTGGAAGTGCTGCTGGTGAGTGGAGTCTTGAGTGAGAAGGCGGGTGGCATTTCCTTAGATGGGGATGAGCAGCGGGGATGAGACATTCCCAATAAAGGCTGCGGTGGGGAACAAAGACTTGCTCTCTAGGTCAGAATTCATCCTCATTTACCCCAGCAAGCACTCCTCAGAATGCACAAGTTTATGTAAAAGCTTGCTCAGTGAGGCATTGCTTGTGACTGTAAAACAGAAACTAATTGCCTGCTGATAGGAAACTGGCTAACTTGATACATAGGACGCCAGCATAAAAGAGTGAGGCTGAGCTGCATGTGCCACTAGGGAGCAATCTCTAACAAACAGGAAGTGGGAAACTGAAATGCCAACAGCATCCAACTGCAGCCCTCAGTGAAGTTCCGTAGGAGGGAATGAGGCTTCCAGCCCAGCAGGCAGGCCCGCTCAGTGCGGGGACAGGGACTCGAGCTGGGGGACTCGGGCGTGAACTGACTGTTGCAGTGAATTCAGTGTTGAAGGGGAGGACCAAGCCTGGGCGGTTGTAATGACAATCAAGTAACGTGTGGGACAATCAAGTAACTTGTCACAGGTTATACACTTGAGGGCAACTAGTTCTAGATAGAATTTCAACTTCTAATTTTTAATAGTATACATACTTATAAAGTTCAATGTTTTAAAAAGCTTTTAAATACAAATTTATTTATATAAATGAACCCTTCTCAACATGAACAGTTTCTGACCTTGACTAATGTCATGATTACTCAGGGAAGCAAACTCCTGGTTTCTTTACAAGCCATTGTGCTGTATGATTGCTTAAATCAATTCAGGAAAGGGAAACTAGACCCCTAAAGGGAAATGACCCCCTTTTTGAGCATATGCCTTTACCGGAACACAGAAATACTTTTCTGCTTTAAAAAAAAATCTGAATTTCAAGAGGAGATTCCCATTACAAAACCTCCCTTTAATTAAAGGTTCATCCAGCCCAAGGCATGCTTGCTTAGATATTTAACTACTTGAGCTGGGACAGGAACTGGGGGAAGGTGAGAGAGGTAGCAAGTGTGAGAGCAGCCAGTGACTGTCCATCAGCAATTGATACATCTCAGAAGGCCAACAAAAAGATAAGAATCTCTTTATTTAAAAATGTGATTTATACTGAACTGTAAAAAAATACAGCAATTTTCCAAAGCAAGCTCCTCTGGCTTGGGTTCTGAAACACAAGATAACTGTGTAAAGAAAAAATTTAAATGTAGATCAGAGAAAACAATTTCCGGAGAGATAGGTAGCTGCACTCTAAGTTCCAAACATATATGTAAAAGGCTCAAAGGTTAGTTATTACAAGAGAAATGGCAAATTTTATCATTCCCCTGACCTGAAGCAAGTTGAAAACTTGGTAGAAAGGTTGCCTATTAAAGAGAATAAAAGCATGGTCCTAATAAGGTCTCTCTGTAGATCTTGCTCCAATAGGGTAGTCAAGATTAAAGAAATAAAAAAAAAAACAGGGGTAGAGCACAATTTTTAGGTATCAAATCTGCCTCATCACTCTCTGAATACATGTCTAACTAGTGTCATTATTCAGAGCTGGCCACTGATTTGCCACTTGGAACAGCTCCAGCCTCATTACCCACTGCAGCAGAACCTGTGACCTAAGACAAGTGATGATGTCGAGGAGGGGTGGCAAGCTCAGCTGAGCCCAGAAATCCCAAGGGCACTGATTAAAGAAATAATTTATTTGTTGTTGACATCTGTTTTTGTTTTTGGTTTTTCCAGGATAGGATTAAAAAATAAAGCCCCATTCCTTTGGCAGGATTCCAGTTGAAACTCTCTCCAGTTCTGAATGTCTGTCAAATGCTGATAACAGGACTTGGCTGCATTAAAACTATCAACTTGTCCAAGGTGGACATGCACTGTGATCAAGACAACCGAGATCCTCCAGCCAAAGATGCCACGAAATAATTCAAACTATTACAAGGAAAACCATGTCACAAAACAGATACTTATTTTCCAATCATGGTTATTCCAGTCTCTTCCATAAAACTGCTTCTGTAAATAGTTTCCTTTACTGTGTCCTATTCTCTTTCCAGCAGTGAGCAGAGCAAACGCGCCCCGTCAGCAGCTCTGTGCGCCGTCAGGCCGGCACGAGGACTCTATCCTGGTCTTCCCCACACGCCCATCAGGAGCAAGAGCGCTCTCTTTCCTTGTCATGGTGGCAAAAAGCATGTCCATCATCCCCAGCGTTTCTAGCAGTTCTTTTTGGTAATCAATCTCTTTTTCTACAAGTCCTTGAAGTAACAAAAACTTTTTATCAACTACAGGTGACTGGCCAATCACAGGCAGATATATATCTAGAAACAGAGAGAGAAAACACATTAACTAGAAATATCTTTCTAAACAATAAATGAACAATATTTAGAAAATGTATTAAAATATTATGTGTAAAAACACTGAAAGGTGTGCTTATTTTATAATTTATAATTTACGGAAAGTAAACGATTCATCTGAATAAATGTATTTCAGCCCTGGCGGTGTGGCTCGGTTGGCTGGGCCTAGTCCCATGCACCAAAAGGTTGCTGGTTCAATCCCGGGTTGCGGGCTCAACGCGCAGTGCAGGGATGCAGAAGGCAGCAGATCGATGTTTCTCTCTCTCCCTTTCCCCTCCTCTCTCTCTAAAAATCAATTTTTAAAAATGTATTACAAAAAAGAAATAGTTACAAAAAGCAGCAGATCGATGTTTCTCTCTCTCCCTTTCCCCTCCTCTCTCTCTAAAAATCAATTTTTAAAAATGTATTACAAAAAAGAAATAGTTACAAAAAGCAGCAGATCGATGTTTCTCTCTCTCCCTTTCCCCTCCTCTCTCTCTAAAAATCAATTTTTAAAAATGTATTACAAAAAAGAAATAGTTACAAAAAGCAGCAGATCGATGTTTCTCTCTCTCCCTTTCCCCTCCTCTCTCTCTAAAAATCAATTTTTAAAAATGTATTACAAAAAAGAAATAGTTACAAAAAGCAGCAGATCGATGTTTCTCTCTCTCCCTTTCCCCTCCTCTCTCTCTAAAAATCAATTTTTAAAAATGTATTACAAAAAAGAAATAGTTACAAAAAGTAGAGCATGGAAGTTCTGACTTATTTTCTTTTTCCCATTAAAAAATAGTCATAGTCACTATAGATGTTTAAGAAAAATTTCTTTAATTATCTTAACCCTGTTCCCAGAATTCCAACCACTGTAGACATTTTACTCATTTGTTTTCTCCATAAAAATCTTCACTGAAGAATTGATAAAAACAAGATATTTTTGAGTTCCAAATTTGATTTCATATTTTGACATCTCACGTTTGCAAGCATGCTAGGATTTTTCAAGTTTTAACAATTACTTACCAATAATTATTTCAGCAGCATTGATCAAAACGGAAGCAAATCTCGGCTGAGACAGATTCCTACAAAGCAAAAACTGTTTACTGAAACTTGCCAACTTTTTTTTTTAATTTTAAAATAGATTTACCGAGTTGTTTTTATCAGTTCTCTACAAAGATCAAACTAAAGTAAATGTCTCTCATTTGGGGATAGAGGATTTTACATGTAAAATACATCTGCTTCATACACATGAAACATACCTTATCAAAAAATTAAGAACACGACTGATTTCCTTTTCATCCCGACCTGCAAGGGCATTTGCAAGAACTCCTCTTCGATTTAGCTCCTTTATGATGGAAACTGTAATCTCAGGTGTCTTTATTGTACAACTAGGCTAGAAATATTTTCAGAGTCAACATGAGCAGACAAGACAACACAAGAAAAATTATAGTCTTGGAACTTACTAACGATTGCCAAACTTAAATAAGTTTTTACCTTCACAGTTTTGAGTCATGGTAATGCACAAGACAAGTAATAAAATGATTCTTTTAAAAATATACTCCCTATAGGTTCATCAATTGTAATAAATGTGCACTTTGGGAGGGAATGTTGTTAAGGGGAAGCTGTGTACATATGGGGGCAGGGGGTATACAGAAAATCTCTGTACCTTCCCCTCAATTTCGCTGTGAACCTAAAACTGCTCTAAAAAAATTAAGTCTTAATAGAAAACTGTATTTTACACACACACACACACACACTCCTCACTCACCTCAAGGACTCTATCAAGTGCTTTGGAGATCCGGAAATTTTTCAGATCCCTGTCATACAATTCTAGGTGTTTTTTTGACGGCCTGTTGATCAAAATGTCATCCTGCATTAAAAGTAAATTTATAGAGAAAAATCAACACCTGTAAAGAATTTCATTCAAAGTAAACTTTTTCATAGTAATATTTTTTATACCAGAGCAGTCCTGAACTATTCATAAATAATGTTCATTTGCCCATAACACAGATAAAACGAAAATGGAATAATGTGTCACATCAATGCGTTCTTACTCTCCTGTGATTTTAACTTATAATGCATACACAATACCTCAATTCTGGGAAAACATTACTGATTTCAACTCTCTTTAACATGTCAGGCAGTCTGACTCAGTAGAAAGAAAACGAGATGCAGAGATACTACGACCCAGTCAATAATTCTGGTTATCAGTAATGACATTCTGGGTCAGTCACAACTTGCCTATGTCTCCATCCTCTCGGATGCAACAGGGACATTATGACTCTACCACTTTTCAGGGCTATTTAGACGATAAAATCAGATAGCACATGAAAGACATGGCTTTGAATATGGGAAAGTACTATAACATTGTTATGACTCAGGGTATTAAATAAAGTAGTTCTTATTCCCCATTATTTAAAAGGTCCCCAATCTAGCAATCTAGAGATAAATCTGATATAGAAAAAAGCAAAATAAAGTTAAAGGCCATGTAAACTATACTTTCCAGTAATGTGCAGAGCAAGAGTTGGCTACTCTAACAAATTTCACCTTAAAAAAAGAAACACATAAATACCCGTTGCTTCATGTAATTCTTCCCTTTAATAAAAGTTCGATATGCAGGCCTCCTTCTTCTGGGAAGAGAATCCTTCTTCGCTTCAGACTTGCGATGTTTAACACTCAGTATTCCATTGGTCATTCCTACAACAACCGTCTCATCTTCATGCTAAGAGCAATTAGAAAAATAGGTCAGTCCACTCCTAACTCATAGCTGCTCCTACCTTTTCTTCAAAATGCCGTTTATAACGTGTCTGCTGCTTATCCACACTTTCACCAAGAGTTCCACTCAGACACAGATACTCTGCCTAACAATGATCAGTGCAAAAACTTAAGCAAATCATTTTCTCCTCTAGGACACTACTACATTGACACAACTTCTGTTATAAATTATCACTGGAAGTTTCTATAATACTATACAGTTAATGACATCTTGGAAAACTCTTAAGTGGTTTTTCTTTGCATCCTCTTAAGAGAAAAAAAGGATTATGTAGTGACATGATTCTCTGCACTCTTGCCGAGAAAGTATTTGATTTCCTCTCCCAATTTAGATTTCTACATAATATATTCAAATGCCCTCCTCCGAAATGGCTCACGGAACTTGACCACGGACATTCCAAAAAGAGCAGTCAACAAAGAAGAGGGCGTATTTCCTTTCGTTGTCCCCTCTCCTCCCCTCCCTCCCAAGCCAATTTGACTTTCTGAGTACTTAACCCTTAAGTTAAATGTTTTGAAGAGATTTATCAACTTCCCAGGTCCTGCCCTTAGTGTTAACAATGCCTACAGCACCGCACTTGGTTTGAAGCTGTGCGGTGAATGGGACCTAAATCTGAACTCAGGCTGAGTCACTGGGACAGGTCATATATTCTAGTAATTGTCTTACTTCAATTCTCTAATGTGGTAGGAAGAAAATAAGACCTATTCAAATACAAAGATAAACCCTAACATTCCATTTTAGTTTCATTTAACAGGCAAGGTTAGTGAAAGCTTTAATTTAAAATGAATTAAAAGTACTTACTGCAAGTGCAAGACTCAAAATTGAAGCTGCATAATCAAAACTGTGGACTACTTTGTAGGAAGTTGTGCTATATACCTTCACCTTCCTAGTAAAAAAGAAAGCTTTGTCAGAAACCATCTTGGAAATGCATATAAAATGCAAACTTTCTATTTTGGAAAATTCAGTATATGAGTATTAAAATTTACACATGAAGATAAACAATGATCAGTAATATTAATTACACGTTAATTTGCCACTAAATCTCTTTCAAAAAGAACTATTTATTAGAACTAGCCATGTCTGCATAGACTTTGACCAGCCACCCTTCAAGAAGGAAGACCGTGAACCACTGTTCCTGAGGACAACACTTGAGAGTGAAGACCAAATATTAACACAAGTCCGTCCAGTCCCGCCCTCCCCCCAGTCGAAAGAGCAGGCTTCCCCAACTGCGGCACAGCGGGGCCAGTCAGTCTTTGTTGTGGCGGCTGCTCTGTGCACTGCAGGGTGTTCAGCAGCATCCTTGGCCTCTACTCACTCTATGCAGCAGCACTCTGCCCAATTTGTGACAACCACCAAAATGTCCCCAGATACTGCCAAATATCCCCTGGGGGATAAAAATCACTCTGGGCTGAGAACTACTGCAGGCAGAGTGAACTCATTTAGCTTTTTGAGAGACACATNAACTGCGGCACAGCGGGGCCAGTCAGTCTTTGTTGTGGCGGCTGCTCTGTGCACTGCAGGGTGTTCAGCAGCATCCTTGGCCTCTACTCACTCTATGCAGCAGCACTCTGCCCAATTTGTGACAACCACCAAAATGTCCCCAGATACTGCCAAATATCCCCTGGGGGATAAAAATCACTCTGGGCTGAGAACTACTGCAGGCAGAGTGAACTCATTTAGCTTTTTGAGGGACACATCTAAAAATCAAGTCCCACCCGGCCGGGCGTGGCTCAGTGGTTAAGCGTCCACCTAGGATCCAGGCGATCAGGGTTCGATTCCCGGTCAGGGCACATGCCCAGGTTGTGGGCTGCAGCCGATCAATGACTCTCTAATCACTGATGTTTCTCTCTCTCTCTCCCTCTCCTTTCCTC